AGAAATAGAAGCAACATCTATTCATTTACCATGGAAAATTTTTATTAAAATGTCAAAGATTTCACATAGTTTCAAACATTAAGTGGAATAAAATATCTAAGAAAAGCTCTATATTTGTGTGATTCAAATATTACAATTAAAACAAAAATTTTACCTCATCCTGGAAAATATGTTTTATACTCAGAAAAACAATATCACATTTTGAATATGAACCAAATTGAAACTTCTAACTCTATGATATAATTTAATAGCTAAACATAGTCCTCCATTAATACTCAGTCAAATTTTAGAAATGTGTTTTATGATTGAAAAAAAAGCTGTTTCATCTAGGATAACTACCCTAGAATATTAATGGGAAGAATAGGATAAAAAACAATTTAAATATTGTACAATAGAGCTTTTGACTTAATTCTTATACCCTCCCTATGGCCCTTGAATACATGGGATTGGAAAGAAGTCTAAAATATGAATTTTTAAATATTCTTTGAGATAGGATGAAAGAAACAGCAAATAATTATAGTTGATTTTACCAATCCAGGGCTATAATTATCACCTTCCTTTATCCTGTCCTCTGTCTGGAGAATAAAGAGCACATGTATTCTGCATAGGCCTGGCTCTATGAACAGAAGGAGCAGGAGGTAGGAGTTGAAGGGTTCTGAGGCTGTCAATGCCCAGAGGACACTCTCCTCAATTCTAGAAGCCACCCGTTGAATCCCGTACATTCCTCTACGTGAGTCTCTTACAAAATGTGAAAATTCATAGGAGTTTTTTATAATAATAATAATAATAATATTTATTACTAGCAGTACAAATAACGATGATTATGATGGCAATGGCTAACAATTACAGTGTTTACTGTGTGCTAGGCATGTTCTAAGCACTTTCCATACATGGATTCATTTAATCCAGACAATAAATCTAAGAGGAGATACTATTATGTTCCCAATTTTACAGACCTAAAGCTGAAATACGGAGATGTTAACTTGCCCAAGGTCACACACCTATTATTAACAAAGTCAGAATATGTTATGCAAAATCCCCGTGTGTCAGTGACCACACAGAGTCACGTTTCTCCTAAGGGAAGAAACAGTGAACCATGCTGTGGACACGTTAGGTGTCAGGTGAGGACAGATATATGCCTGAGGGAGGGGGATAGGGAATACATATAAAAATGGTGTACCACTGATGAAGAAAACTAGAATAACTCCAGAAGGGAAATAAGTTTTAATGGCAAGTTTTAGCTACTCTAGGGTTTTTGCTTATAGCTTTAGTTTTAAACATTTTTTGGATTGAATCTATATAAAATACTGTTTGTTAAAAATCTCTTTTTACTCATCAACCAAGAATGAAATGGTAATGCCTTTATTGCTCCCTACTTATATTTAAAACTTAAATCCCTAATTTTCAAGAAGATGTTTATTTTGTGTGTTGATCAAAATGCCTTCTAATGAGTGAATATACTTCTTATTTAACAAAACCAAATATTTTTGCTATAGCTTCTGAGAACCTTGCTAATGTGTGTCACGACAAGCTTTAGTTCTCCGCCATGCTAAAGCATATTTAACTGCAAAATCTCTCTTTCCAAACTACCCATCAGCATTTCCTGCTGGCTCTTCCCAGGAGCACCTTTTGAAAACTGGATCTAAAAGGACATTCAGACCAAGATCAAAGTGGCTGGTCTTCTAGAATCAGCTTTTATCATGGGCTCTCTAAAAAATGTTCATTTACTAGAGATCTATAGTGACGTATCCTCCATAAATTCATTCCTTTATTGTCCTTCCATTTTTATGATCAACCTCGGATGGCAATATAAAAGAGTCAAAGACATTTGAGAGATTGACTGATGATTTTCAAATAATAATAGCTAATATATGTTGAGCAGTTACTGCAGGTATTAATTTTATTACAAAAGATAGGTGCTATAATCATTGCCATTTTATGAACGAAGAACCTGAGGTAGGAAACTCTGTCGAGGTTACACAGTTGCAGAGCTGGGGTTCCAGTCAGAGAGTCTGGGACAGAACCCACATCCCTGACTTCTTCCACATCGTGGGGATGGATAACTGTTACAATTATTTGAGTGGGATCAATAGAACTATGTTAAGGTCTTTGGAAATTGAAGACATTTAGTAATGTTTTACAATAAAGTCTGTAGTTCAACTCTCTTGGTATTAGCAAATATGTCATATCAGGATAAAATAATAATAATAAAGTGTAAAAAAACTGGAAAGAAAATTGAACACACATGAAGTTTTAGCGTTTTTTGTTCCCAGTAACTACTAGTATGTACCCACCACCAAAATCAAGATATAGAAAATATCCACCATGCCCAAGTTTCTCCATGACCCCTTCCAGTCAGTATCAACCTCTCATAAGAACCATTGTTTTGATCTCTAGTCCTAACAGATTAGTTTTACCTGTTCTTGAATTTCATATCAAAGAAATCATCTAGTGTGTATTATCTTGTGTCTGGCTTCTTCTACTTAATGTAACATTTCTAAGTTTCATCTATGTTTCTTGTATACTAGTATTTCTTCTTTTCTTTTCTTTCCTTTTCATTGCCCAGTAGTATTCTGTTACATGAACACACTACACTTTGTTTTCCTGGCTCTTGAGAGTGGGCACAGAGCTTGGCCAGTCAGATGCTCCCTCTCAGGACATAAGATTCTGTTGAGCTAACACAGACACCATCAAGGAGAGAGAGTCTCCACAGCAGCGGTGCTGTGAGACCAGAGGCAGCGGGAGTCCGGGAGAGTGACCGTTGTTAGAACGGGACCCAGCACACTGCTCAGCTGTGTGATCTTCCCACAGCTCCTGCTACTCAGGTTACCTTCGTTCTGATCCATTTTCTAGACAACTGCAACCTTTCCCTGAATTCTCAGAGCTTCTTGATATTCTTCCAGTTAAGTTTCTGCTTATTATGTCAGAACTGCTCTCTACTGCTTGCCACAAGAAGCTTTAGTGCTCAGACCCATTTCCTTCAATCCCTTAAGACCCCACGTCCAACACCCTCATTTTACACATGTATAGTTCATACCAAAAGGTTATTTGGTTTTTTCCTCAGATTTTTCATGTAGGACAAAAAACAAATCTCATTCAAAATCTCACCATCAGTAAACTGAAGCTATTGAAACAGATTCAGATTCATTTTACAGAGGTTTTTTTAAAAAAATAAAATGCAGTTTGGCACATCTGCAGAACAAATCTATTTAAACTCAATAGGGCACTTATCTCTTTTTTCCCGAGGCAATCCTGCTGGATACTGAGTAGAGTATCATACAGCAATTACCGTCATATTAAAATGACAAAATTTAGCTTCTAAAAGGGTTAGAGGGCTCGAGTATGAAGGAAAAAAGATTTAAAAACAGAGGGATGCACGATGCAAAGCCATTAAACACTCATTCCTGAACACAGGAGAATTTAAAGATGCATTAAGGAATCTGGGGGTAGATTTTACCGTCATTTATGGCAGGTGTCTAGGGGAACGGCAAGATTTTGTTTTCAATTTAACCTCGGCACGACTAATAAGACTTTTCAGATGAAAAATATATTTATGAAATGCAACTATTTAATAAAGGCTTCCAATGTTTGTTAATAGACTTTTTCTTAAACTGTTTCAAAATTATAGAAAAAATGAGAAGGTAGTACAAAGAACTCCCATGTGCCTCTTCACTGGGTTTCCCCATTATTAACATCCTACAGGAGTGTGGTATGTTCCTTACAATTAATGAACCAATATTGATACACTCCTACTGCATACTGTAGTCAGATTCCCTTAGCTTTTATCTATGTCTTTTTCTGTTCCAGGAATACACATCACATTGACTTGCTGTGTCCCCTCAGACTTTTCTTGGCTGTGACAGTTTCTCAGACTTGCCTGTTTTTGCGTGGGATTTTGTAGGATCTCTCTAATGGAACTTGTCTGATATTTTTCTCATGATCAGATGGCGTTATGATTTATTGGGAAGAAGATCACAGCTGTAAAGTGTCATTTTATCGCATAGGATCAAGAGCACACACCGTCGACATGATTTATCACTGTCGACATTGACCTGATCACCGGGTTGTAGTGATTGTCAGGTTCTCCTGTGAAGTTGTTCTTGTTCCCCCGTGTTTTCAGCCTGTCCTCTTTGGAAGGCAGTCACCACGCACAGGTCACACTTACCGAGTGGGGATGTATGCTCCCCCTCCTTGAGGGCAAAGTATCTACATAAATTATATGGAATTATTCCACAGGAGAGATTTCTCTTTCCTCGTCCAGTTATTCATTTATAGAATTACTTATTTATATCGGTATGAATTCATAAGATACTTATCTTATACTTTAGGTTATGATCCAATACTCTATTGCTTAAATCGTTCCAGTTTTGGCCACTGGGAGCTCCAATTGGCTTTTGTTTCCCTTTGACATAACCCCATAAATGTAGGTATTTCTTTCTTATTGAGCATTTCCTTAATTCCTGGTAATTCTTGCTCCAGGCTCAGCTCATCTTGTATGGTTCCTGCCCCAGTTCCAGAATCAGACATTTCTCCAGGAAGCTCTGATTCCTCTTGTTGAACAATAGTATTAGAAACCAAGACATGTGCAGTGGGGTCCACATTATTGGAGTGCTGATGTTTCCAGGCTCTCTCAGCTGACACACAGCAAGGAAATGTATGTGTGTATACTAATCTGTATCTATACACATATCTATAAATATTTTGTATGTAAATATCTGTATCTATGTTAAGCTCATTTTGAAGTCATACTGTCTTCAACTCTGCCCCATCACCCCAGGAATCATTCTAGCCTCTTCCGTTTGCTTATCTGCAAACTCTCAATTAAACTGGAAGAAACCGGCTCCCACGATCTGCCAGCCATTTACAGACATGCTTTGCTTAATGATGGGGACATGTTCTGAGAAATGCATCCTCAGGCAATTTCATCATTGTGTGAACATCATAGAGTGTATTTATACAAATCTAGACGGTATAGCCTAATACTCACCTAGGCTCTATGGTACTAGCCTTACGAGACCACTGTAGTACGTGCGGTCCGTCATTGAGCGAAAGGTCATTATGTAGTGCATGACTGTGCTTGACTGTTCATTCCCAGTATCTGCAGAGAGCAGTAACATTGTTAACCTGCGGACGACTGGAGACAGCGTTTTCAACCAGGGTGCAGTACTCTCCTGCAGCTCCTTTGCCTGCACTCTTACGGCTTCCACTCATTTCCAGAGTCACCCTGGGCTGCATCTTTTCTCCCAGCCCCTTTGGTGAGGTTGTTTCATGCATGTGTAACACAGCTATATTGTTTGGCACATTCTGCATTCCATCCTGTGATCTCCCACCTCCTAAATGATTTTTTTAATCTGCATGCATGAAGGCATATCCTGCAACGTTCTATGGGTTTTGACAAATGCCTAATGTCATCTACCTACCATTATAGTGTCATACAGAATAGTTTCACTACCTAAAAAACCCCTGTGCTTCGTCTAATCACCCTCCCATCTTCTCCAGAGCCTTCAGCAACCATGAATTTTTATTGTCTCTATAGTTGTGAGTTTTCCAGGTGTCATATAATTGGAATCATACAGACTTTTCAGACTCTTTTAAACTTTGATATATGCATTTAGGTACATCTACGTCTGTTCAGGGCTTGATAGCTCATGTTTTTTGTTGCTGAACAATGTGCTGTTCCATGGGTGTACCACACTTTGTTTCTTCATTCTCCTATTGAAGGACATCCGGGTTGCTTTTAGCTATTGATATTTAAGAGTAAAGCACCTATAAACACTCTTGTGCAGGTTTTGCATGGACATAAGTTTTGAAATGATTTCAGTGAATGCCCAGGAACATGATTATAAGACTGTTTACTTCTCTGTAAGAAACTTCCCAACTGTCTTCCCAAGTGGCTGGGCCATTTTGCATTCCTATCAGCACTGAGAGCTTCCCTGACCCCACATCTTCCCCCACAACTGGAATTGTCAGTGTGACAGACAGAATGCTTGCCCTCTGTCTGTGTGAGATAAGGCTCTTACAAAACCTTTCATAATGAGAGTAGGCCTTTGTTACGGAAAACACACTGAGTGTATTTCGTGATGGTTACTGTTCCGTCCTTCTGCCTCTGATTTTTCTTGGCTCTTTACCTTGAGAACCTGACGCGGTTCCTGGAAGTAAACCCATGAAAGCGTGGGAGCGTCCTAAGACTGGGCCTCCAGAAGTTTCTCACTCTCATGTTAGTGCCCCGTCCTCATCACTGAAGCGTTCCTGTCAGTGTGAGACTCCAGTGGCTTCTGGTCCAAGTTGGCCAGTCTCGGCTGTGATTTTCCGTAGTTGCCCGTCTCTCCACATTCTGGGTGGTGGTTTGCACTGAGACTCAGTTCTCCAATGGGTCAAGAAAAGTCATTAATTTTCAGGTGGTTAGTTTATATCTCGTTGTAAGGACGGAGGTGACTACTTCCCATCTCTTAACATGTAGAAGATGGAATCGAAGTTGGCTTCAAACGATGTTTTTTGTTGTTAATTTAGAATGCACTTCCTGATATTCTGTGCTCATTGTAGTCCGTTGAATCTTTTTTTCCCTAGAAAACTCTCTCTCTTATCTACTACTAGTTGTGCCCCTTTTTCAAACACATGAAGCCTGAATCTTACCACACACTTTCAATTCTTTTTCAGTGTAAAGTACCCTGAGTTACCCATTTAATGAGTCACTTAACACTCCTGTGCCTCAGTTTCCTCATCTCTAAAATAAAGGGTGTAATCTAGAATACCATGTTAGATTATCTGTAAATTTCCTTCCATTGCTAATCTCCTGTATAAAGTTGTGTGTAAAGCAAAATTTTGAAAACGGGATCATAATTTGAATCTTCTTAGGCAAGGGTCCTCAAAATGCAGTGAGCACACCGGCATGATCAGCATTATCTGGGAACTTTTTGGAAACGCATGTTTCTGGGCTTCACGCGAGAACTAAGAAATCTGAAACTGCAGGCGGGACCGGGATTTGAGGTTTAACAAGCTCTCCAGGAGATTCTGATTCAAGCTACATTTGAGAACCACTGCTTTAGAACAATGTATTCTTTTACATAAGCCTACTCTAAATTTTTGGTAAATAGTTATCGTAATTAATTTATATTTACTATTTTTATCTATTTAAGCTTTCATATATTGGTTTTCAAAATAGCGTTTGTATGTTCTTTTGTAAATACAACCTTCTGTGTATGAGCACCTCTCCGTAGTGTGATTTGGTTTCTGTAGGCCTCTGGGATTGTAGGCATTCGGATCGCTTAGTCTATCCACAGCTTCAGGTGCCAGTGTTTGTCAATACTAATGGCAGTGGAGCTACGATGTCACACGGCTTCATGAGCACAACTTTTTAAATGAATTTGTAGTAAATGCTTAGAATTTGACCTTCCACACTGACACATGTAAATGCAAATGAGAATAAATTACTGGTTATGACTCTTTCTAGCTACTAGATTTTATAAACGTGAACACAACTGAAACATTTTTTTTCCTTAATAGGTGTAAGGGCTTTTTTTTTTGGTAGGGTAAACATTTGGATGGTATTTTGTTTGACCACAAACAAATCTTAAAACCATATTTTCCCTTTCATCTGTACCTACTTGCTTTTAATATGCATAATATGTGACATAGATCAACATTTATGCCAAGAATGCTTTATTTTCTCGAGTGATCAAGCTTTAAAAGAGCAACATAGATGCTTTCTGAAGAGTTAACCTGGGTGAGCTTCCGTATAAGATAAGTGATTTGTAATCTACAAACAAATAATTTTTTAACAAGGTAAGAAAGATTATTTGTAAATTTAGGTGGTTATTGAGGAAGATGAGTAAGTCAAGATTCTCTACAACACAATCTACTATGTCTCCCTTAAAAAACAATTATTTGTAAAATATATACATCAAATCAAATCCATCTCCTCTCCTATGTCTAGACCAGTGATTCTCACTATTAAATCTTTGGACAGGAAGGCAACAGTGATTAAACTGTGCTCTCAGATGGATCCAAAGAACATGTGGAACAGAAGTGGCTGTGACGTTTATTAAATATGCCCATCTCAGGGTTACACCAATGAAATCAACATGTAAGAATCTGGATCCCAAATATTGGCTCAGAAACCTAGAGAAGCTCTGGATTCTCTTCAGAAGTAAAGTCATTTTTTTAATCTATTCAAAACATTAAGAGAGAATTGTTATTGGTCCTCTGTACAGACACTGTTTGTTTACTGTGGGAGAGGTAAAAAATCTCCTTAATAGACTGATTTATTAAAGTCCTGTTAATACATGTGTGTTGTTAGATTAACTGTAATGATGCCCAAATATAGAATTTAAATAGCATTCATGAGATAGAATTCTGAAAATGTTAATCGGCTACATGGTTAGTATGTGGAGTGTTAAATAGAGCGTAACAGTAGTTATTTACGTTGAGAAATACTGGTTTACCTCTCCAAAGACACATAGTAATACACCAGGGATATTTCTATTAACATACAAGTTAAAATAATAGTTAAGTGTAATCACTTTACTTTAGTCTATCAGACAACAATAAACCTGAATCGGGAAGCAGTGACATATAAAAAGTAACGGTGGTTTTCCAACACATTCTATTTCTATTCTTTGTGTTCTGAGGGAAACTAAAGTATATTTAAGACTGGCTTGTTTCATGATCTTTTAATCTTGTGCGGTAGGGATGGGCATCATGCGGCAATGAAAGCTAAATTGAGAGGCACTGCTTGCTTTTAGGACCCACTGATTTTCCCACATCTGTTTTATGTATCACAATGACTAAAGCAACAGCTTGTTAGCAAAAAGGTGAATTAAGAGCCATCGTAAAATTTACAGTAAGAAAATGTTGACCTGAAAAGCGATAGCTGGTGGCATTCACATGAATACTTAGAACAATTCCTGGACTATATTAGGTGTTCAGTAAATACTGTTGAATGAAAAAACAATACAATTAAATGTACAATAAATAACTGAACAGAATATTTACATTGGATCAGATTATGAATGTCAATACATTAAGACCTGAAATGAATGAAAAAACAGACATTATTTAAAATTATTTTCTAAATGCAATGAGTAAAAGATACTAAATATATTTCAAGTTTTTTTTCTGTGCCTGACAAGGTACTATCTCATCTGACTGGTTCAGAGAGAGATGGGAAGAGCATCTCCTAAGGGGTCTCATGACCTGCTGACCTAGCTGCCCTTGGGAGGATGGCCAGATCTTTGATGAATCATTGAATTGGTAGTTAATTCCAGGAGGATTCTCTCCTGAAAAGGGGGTCCCATTAGCTCCAGGCCTTTCAGTGCCCAGTCTCCCTGCCCCAGGAGAAGTGCAAGGACTAATTGGTAAGCTTGGAAGAAGACGCTGCCCTGGGACAGCTTCCTCAGCCTTGATAGAACGAGATGCCCACAGGAGGTGACAGTGTCTTCCTTTTCTAGTGACAGGCTCTGTCCCTGGCAGGGAGGCCTCCTAGGCCCACTTCTGTTGATTCTAGGAAGGTAAATATGTTCAAGTCTGTACTTTGTATTAGAAAGAGCCATTTTCCATAAATAAAAGCCATGCACTCTAATCTGACTATAATCAATAATTATACCTCCTCCCTTTTTTGAAATACCTTCTTCACTTGGCTTTCAAGCTTTTCTCCCTCTTTTTCTTTCTCTCTGTCTTGAAATTTGTATGTGAACTGTAATAAATATGCAAAAAATGCATAAAACATATGTGCAGTTTAATACTCAAAAAAATGCCTAACCTATAAAATATTGGTCTGAGTTACTCACTCTGTATATATGTTCATATACATATATATATAGTTGTTTTCTTTCAACGCTGTATTAGCAAAAGGGAACCATGTGTAGTTGTGTTTTTTCATGTAGCTGTACCTTGTGCACTTTAATGACAGATCATTTTTAAAAATCTCATTTTCACGTTGTTGCTGATAAATAGAAAAACAGGTGATTTAATTTTGCATATATATTTTGTATCCAGAAATCTTGCTATCAATTCTTTTATTAATTCCAACATTTCATTTGGAGATTCTTATGGCTTTTCTTTGTATACAATAATATACAAAATTGACAGTTAAATTTCTCTCTTTCTTGCCCATATCGTGGTTCTTCTTTGTCTTGCCTTATTGCACTGGCTAGGACTCCAGCACCAGGGGATATAAAGGCATATTTTTCTTAAAGGGAACGATTTCAATATTTCACAACTAGGTCTGGTGATTATATTAATTTTTTATACACGTTCTTAAACTTATCAAATTAAGTTCCCTTTCAATACCTAGTTTTCTAGGACTTTTTATAATAAATAAACATGAAATTTTTCATACTCTATATTTGTATCTATCTGATCATATACTTTTTCTTCATTACGTATAAATCTTATGAGTACATTAACTGATTATCTATGTTAAACCAACTTTACTCTTCTAGGATAAAAACATTAGTTATTTCCTGATGTAATGATTGTGAATTAACAAGCATTCCGTTTGTGACCTTTACGCCCACTTCTCCACTGCAAACACAGGTTGTTATTTTGCTCTCCATGCTCTTCTCAATCACGGCTGTCAAAGTTTATTGGTTCAACAAATGCGGGAAAGAGTACCTTCTTTTGGCATTCTCTGGAAAAGTGTTTGTAAAGAGTTAAGTTTTTTTCCTTAAATATTGGATAGGATTGAAACTAGCTGAGCACTGATTATTTTTCTGTGGTAAAAAATTAGCTTAAGATGATAGGACATTTCTATTTCTGATGGGATATCTTCTGTTTCTCCTTACATCATTTTTGGTGAGTTATATATTTTCATATCCATACATTTCATAGATATTTTCTAATTTGGGGGAAAAATGTGTTCATAATATCCTTTTAACTTTTTTCTTGATACTTATATCATCCAGGAGCCCTTTTCCCCTGGTATTGGTAATTTGTTCCAATACTTACTTTCACTGAACAGTTTTGTCATATGTTGCTCAAACTGATTCATTTTTTAAAATTAAAACTATAAAATTTCCATTAATACAAGCATAATTGCATCTCTTGGTTGAGCAATATCTTAGAGAGTCAATTAGTCATACTGGATTTTTACAAAATATGATCATATATAATAAAAATTTGTAGACAAAAGCAATATTACTTTAACATAAATATAGGAAAATAGATATTTATTTGAAACTATACATTATTCTGTGTTATCCAATTTTCTGTTATATAAATGTCATTATTTAAACAAAAACAGTAGGACTAAACAGTGGCAATTAGGATAAACTAAACAAATAATATGTGTGAGAAAAATATAAGAATATTTTAGAATGTTCCTTTCTCCTCTAATAAGAAAAAACTTCTTTTTTAAACTCTTTATTGGATATTAAATTTTATGGCCGATATTATTATGCATTCTTAAGGTACATAAATCTAAAACTTTCAAAAAAGAATGTAAATACACTAGGAATAATTAAACAGATATTACCCATATTTAATTTACAAAATAAAAATGACAAATTTCTGCTTGTCCCATGACACAGTAAAATATTTTCACTCTTTTTCTTTTCTTTCCAAAATTACCTTTCTGAACTGCCTACAGCCTTTAGAAAATTCTTTTTCCTCCTCCTCCTCTTCCTCTTCTTTTTCTTCTTCTTCCTCTTCGTCGATGTATTGGTAAAACTGAGTAGCGTCAAAGGGGAAACTCGCTCTGACTTGTAGCTCTGCTCCTGTAAGGCCCACAGGACATTGAATCCTTGTGTCACTGCGATATGCTCACGTTCACTGAATCGCCTCTTGACGAGAGTGTTTGGACATGGAAATCTAGGGTTTTGCTTACTGGCGACTTCAGGTTTTCAGGTTTGTAGGAATTAGTTTCCGGATCTCCAAAAATGCTGTGCACTTATATCTACAGACTTGTGTGGCAGACCAGCTGTTTGCCCATCAGATCCATAAATTCATCAAACAGACTACATCTAAAACGTCCAGCATTTTAAACCCTCTAATGCATATCGGTGGTCACCCTGAATTAAACATCTCCTCTCAGAGAAAATAGTTTTAAAGCATAGAGATAATTTGAACTTGTGAAATAAAAGTCGGATTTCAAATGTGTAACAGTTTTAGTAAAAAATTGAGACAGTTCTATGACTTGGTTGATGAATTTTTTAAAATTCTGAAGCAGAAATATTTCCATAAATTCGTCCATGTATCACAGTATGAGATTTTATCAAAGCATACCCATAACATAGAACAACTCCGGTGAAATCAGGGCAAACTTCTCAGACTCCCGTGGCCTCTTCTAGATCACAAGCCTTGGGAAACAGGCAGTGATGTATTTGCCCAGCTCCTGCTGTGCATGGTGAACGTCTATAGAGAAGGTGTGCTCTCCAAAAGCTTCATCTGGTGAGATTGAAAGAATGAGAGGTTTTGAATAACAGGATACATCATAGAAGACTGAAAAGGGTTATGAAAGGTGGGAAAAATTAGAAGCAGGAATACCTCCAGTTTGTGCAGAGACTGGGACAAAATACACATGTGGCCAGAGTATAATTCTAAACAACGAGAAGATAAAAATTAAGGTAAAAAACAGTTAAATAAAATGTGACATATCCCCCTACCTTGAAAAACACGCATCCATGTTGACAAAGCAAGAACACTATGATTTTTCTACAAGTAAGCAAAATGTAAAGCAGAATTTAATTATTATAATACAAATAGTATGTTCTGCTGTGGTCTGGCAATGTTATTGAATAAGTAATAAAATAAGTAAGTAAATAAATACACATACATTTAAGTTATTACATATTACATAAGATATTTTTCTTGTCTTCATTTTAACAAAATTAATAATTGTGTAGTTATAATTTTTCATATTTGGGTTCATTTAATAATAATAGAAAGATTTAAAAGTAAAATTTGTGTTGAATATACAAATTTACAATAAATTTTAACTAAAAATAAATATCATCCAATTGTACCAACTCAAAAATCATTTTTATGTATGTATTCAAAGAATTATTTTCCTTCTTACATATTTGAAATTATAAAAATTTAAAGGATACAATTTTAGTTGAGATATATCAATTGTAAAATAAAAATTATGTAAATAAAACTGACAATTTAAGTTTGTGATAATTTAATTAAATCTTTTTGAATGATTTTATACAAATAAAACTGTTACAGTTTTAGCGTTCAGAATCCATTTGGTTGTCAGTGTAAAGAACTGTTATTACATTCAGGTAAGCAACACTCTACTATAGACAGACAGATTTAACAGTGACATGAAGTAGTATTGCCATATACCTGCTGTTGCAGATACAGTTTAGGTGTGTTACATTAATGCATATTACTCCAGAACCACTCATTGGAACATAAGAGTCAAGAAAATGGATCCCTCCAAACACTGAGCAATAATGCTGGGTTATACAGGGCTTTCACCTGTCTGAGAGGAAAAATTTGGCAAATTAATAAATCTGTAATTCTCTAACTTAAAAGATTCTGCTGAATATATACAGTTTTTATTTGTCAATCATACCTCAATAAAGCTGGAAAACAGTAAAATGTAACAGCTCAAACTTATTTTGAGAAAAAGGTAAGATTCTGCTGTCCCAATCCCCCCTGCAACCCAAAGCACCATCCGTCTCTAACGTTGGCGTCAGCACCCCCCACGTTTCTGGACTTTCAGATGCTGTCAGCTTTCCTCCCAAAGAAGAAGGAGAATAAGAGTAACCCTAGGTGGAGAGAGTTCCCCGGGTCCTCAGTGATGTTGCCACGTGAAGCAGATTCAGGTAGAACTGATAATCAGGTTTAGCATGACTAATATGCTCCAATAGAAGTTTGTGTAGTTATATTTTAGCCAATTTCACATGAAATGTTCTTTATCATTAATGTTTTCTCTTTGGTTTCGGCGAAAAGAGAATGTGATATTCTTTAGAGCTGTTCACAAATAATACCCCTTCCTCCAACATAAGTAAGGGATTGTTTATCCACACCCTGGAGTTAGGCAGGACCATGTGACCTGCTGTAGCCACTGGAACAAGAGCAGAGTCCACAGGTGACCTTCAACAGCAAACATTTAAGTGTCTGTGTACAACTCCTCAATCTCCTTTTCTTATCCCGGTGGCTGGTACTCCAGAAGGTAGAAGCCACATCCTCTGCATTATTGATTAGGTGGAATCAGAGCAGAGGCCCCAGGCAATTCCCAATGGACATGCAATGTCAATGATAAACAAATCTTGTTGTTTTCAGCCACTCTGGCATGACTTAGCCTATTTTGTTTGAAACAGAGAAAGTTTTCTATTAGTCAAGTCATTTGAATTTTGTTTCAATGAAAAATTTATATGAGTACACGAAATGTGATCACGTACTTATTGTCATTATTTAAGGACCCTGTCAAATAAAACAGAGGATTAAAATGATGTCATATTTGTAAATATACATATTAATATTTTTCAAGAAAGATTTAGTTTTATTAAATTTGGGAAAGCACATAACGGTGTTCATTTCCTGTAAGGCTTCAGGTTACCTTAGTTTGTGCATGTGTTTCTGTTTCCCTAAACAGCTAGATTTACAAAAGCAGAATTTATATGTATTTATATGGGACATGTTAAGTCATGATCAATTTCTCATATGTCAAAATACTTCTGGAAGCAATTTTAACACTTCAAATTATGACCTCTCAAAATGCTAATGATAACCAGGATGAAGAATGAATGAAACATGGACATGACTGTATGCTGCCATCTAAATTGATGATTTCAGGTTCCTCTAAGCATTCTAGACCACAGGTGACCCGACTAATGAGAATTCCCATGG